GCAACCACGTGAGCTGTTATCTAAACATGATCATAAAAAGCGAGAGCATCTCATAACGTGTGACCAATGTTTGCATACAACAAATGTACACTATAAAGAAAATATATCAATTTCTGACTACGAATATAGTCATAATTTGGTAAAAATAATTGTTTTTTTATCTTTTTCGACTAAAAACCGTTGTTAGAAATCTTGATGGTAGAAAATAGTTTTTAGTCAAAAAATGGTCAATGTTGTGAAAACTTAGAAACTTTATTAATCACTAGAATGTATATATAGAGTACATAGGGAATCTAGGTTAAGTACAATGCCCTGATGGACCTAATGGGCCGGTATAAGAGTCCATATATGATATGTGTTATAACACTCCCCCTTGGACGAGTGAACCGGGCCAGCTACTCAATCGGGATCTCGATAATGCGCTGGGGAATGTTGCCTCATTAAAACCTTACCAGGAAAAACCCAGTGGGACAAAACCATGGTGAAGGAAAAAGAGTACAACACGCATTACTCCCCCTGATTGTAGCATCACTACAGATCTCTAAGTCTATACATTCCTATCTGTTTGACGAGCTTCCGGTGTGTTGAAGTAGGCAATGATTTGGTGAAGAGGTCAGCTGAATTCTCACTGGATCGGACCTGCTGAACGCTGAGAGTGCCGTCCTTCTGCCAGTCTGAGGTTGAGAAGAACTTCGGTAGAATGTGCTTCGTCCGATTTCCTTTGATATATCCTTCCTTGAGCTGAGCTATGCATGCCGCGTTGTCTTCATACATCACCGTGGGCTGTGTGTCTTCGTCCATACCACAATCTCTGCGGATGTGCTGAGTCATGGAGCGCAGCCAGACGCATTCCCTACTAGCCTCATGAATGGCTAGGATTTCAGCATGGTTTGATGAAGTGGCAGTGAGTGTCTGCTTCATTGATCTCCAAGAGATGGCTGTTCCTCCATGCGTAAAAACGTAGCCAATTTGAGACTTGGCAGTGTGCGGATCTGATAGATATCCTGCATCGGCGAAGCCGACTAACCCATCTTTATTTTGGTTAGTATAGAAGAGTCCTAAGTCTTGAGTACCTCGAAGGTATCTTAGGAGATGTTTTATACCGTTCCAGTGCCTCTGAGTTGGAGATGAACTATATCGAGCGAGGAGGTTCACGGCGAAACATATGTCTGGTCTAGTGTGACTAGCCAGGTACATTAACGCTCCTACAGCACTGAGGTATGGCTTTTCAGGACCAAGGATTTCTTCATCATCCTTTTTGGGACCAAGAGGGTCATCACTTAAGCTTCTAACTACCATTGGGCTGGTCAATGGGTGAGCTTGGTCCATATTAAATCGCTTGAGTACCTTTTCGATATAAGCCGATTGATGCACAAGGATTCCTCCTTTGATGTACTCAAGTTGTAATCCCAAACAGTACTTTGTTTTGCCTAGGTCTTTCATTTCGAATTCTGCTTTTAAGCAGTCGACTGTTTGGGAGATCTCACCAGATGTTCCGAGGATGTTTAGATCATCCACGTATACTGCTATGATTACAAATCCTTTGTTTGAGTACTTCTTGATGAAGATGCATGGACTGATGGGGTCATTTTTGTAGCCTTCTTTGATGAGGTAATCGCTGAGGCGGTTGTACCACATACGCCCACTTTGTTTCAGTCCATACAAGGATTTGTTCAGCCTGATGCAGTATTGATCTCGAGATGCATTTTTGTCTTTTAGTTCAATGCCATCTGGGAGTCTCATATATATTTCGTTGTCCAGGGGCCCATAGAGATATGCGGTTACAACATCCATTAACCGCAGATCAAGATTTTCTCTTATGGCCAGACTTATGAGGAATCGGAATGTTGTTGCATCCACCACTGGAGAATAAGTCTCCTCATAATCGATTCCGGGTCTCTGTGATAATCCTTGTGCTACAAGCCGTGCTTTGTATCGAACGACTTCACCGAGTTCGTTCCTTTTGCGCACAAAGACCCATTTGTGGCCCACTGGCTTGATGTGTGATGGGGTCCGGAAGATCGGACCGAACACGTTTCTGAGTTTGAGACTCTTTAACTCCACGTTTATGGCTTCTTTCCATTTTAGCCAATCTGTTCGATGTGTACACTGTGTTATTGACGTGGGTTCTAGATCCTCTTGCGTGAGCGCAACATCAAGTGCTACTTTGTATGCAAAGAGTGCATTTAAGTCGACTTCTTTTCGATTCCATTGTATTCTGGACATATTGTAATTGATGGAGATCTCATTGTTATCTTCTGAACCTGGAGATTCGGCGTCCCGAACTTCCATTGAGGGTTCATTAGATTGAGTCTCAGCCGCGGCTATGTCTGATATTGCAGGAATCCCAGTTTCGGTTATTGCACCTTTCTTTGATTTCCGGGGATTCTTATCTTTGGAACCGAGAGGTCTGCCCCGTTTGAGACGTGGTGCAGACTCTGTAGCAACTTGGGTCTGTCCCGTTGGGACAGCTATTCGTACTGGTGCATTACAAGCTGGGATGTACGATTTGGTTACTTTGGTCGGGTCAGCAAAGGAATCTGGCAATTGATTAGCTAGCTTTTGATAATGAATAATCTTTTGGATCTCTGAATCACATTCTAGAGTCCGAGGATCTTGCCAATTTAATGATGTTTGATTCCATGAAAGATCTTTGACCAGCTTGTTTGTCTCACCACCTAAAGAGGGATATACCGATTCATCGAATTGGCAATCCGCATATCTGGCCTTGAAGAGATCTCCAGTGGTTGGCTCGAGATATCTTATGATGGTGGGAGAGTCAAAACCAACATATATTCCCATCCTTCTTTGAGGTCCCATTTTGGTTCGATGTGGTGGAGCAATGGGTACATATACTGAACACCCAAATGTTTTGAGATGGGAGATGTCTGGCTCATGACCCGAGAGTAGTTGGGATGGGGAATATTTGTGTTCACTAGATGGCCGGATGCGTATGAGTTCAGCAGCATGTAATACTGCATGTCCCCATGCTGAGGCCGGGAGCTTTGATCTCATGAGTAATGGTCGGGCTATCCATTGAATGCGTTTAATGAATGATTCAGCCAATCCATTTTGAGTATGGACATGTGCTACAGGATGTTCCACGGTTACCCCCATGGCCATACAGTAGTCATTAAACGCTTGTGAGGTAAATTCACTAGCATTGTCAAGGCGGATAGTCTTTAGTGGGAAGTCAGGGAAATGGGCCCGCAATTTTATGATTTGGGCCAAGAACCTAGCGAAGGCTTGGTTCCGAGAGGACAAGAGACAAACATATGACCAACGGGTCGATGCGTCTATAAGGACCATGAAGTACCGGAATGGTCCGGAAGATGGATGTATAGGTCCACAGATATCGCCCTGGATTCTTTCTAGGAAATGAAGTGTTTGTTTAGAGATTTTAACTGGTGAAGGCCGAGTGATCAATTTGCCTTGAGAACAAGCTGTGCACATGAGGTGTTGAGGATAAGCTCGGTTTTCTTTGAGGGTATGCCCTTGAGAGTTTTGAATTAGTTTACGCATCATATTTGCACCGGGATGACCGAGCCGGTCGTGCCAAATGGTATAATCAGTAAACCGGGCTTTGAGAGTGGTATTAGCTTCAATCATACTGACTTTAGCATGGTAAAGTCCAGTAGAGAGCGCGGGTATGGTTTCGAGGATTTGTTTATGGCCGTCTACGGTTTTAGTGACTAGGAGGGATTCTTTGTTCCCTTGACCTTGGGTTTCTATGTGGAAACCATTCTGTCTTATATCCTTGAAGCTCAGAAGATTTCTCTTCGAACTAGGAGAATATAGAGCATCTGGTATTTCAAGTTGTGTGCCATTTGATAGCAACACATAGGCATGGCCATATCCTTCGATAAGGTTTGAGGGACCCGCGATGGTGCTAATATTTGCGGTTTGATAGGTTAGGTTTATGAAGTAACTTTTGTTTCTTAAGATAGTGTGGCTGGATCCACTATCTACGACTATGGTTTCCATTTGCTGGTGTGCTTTTCTACCTTTGGATTTCTGACAGGCTAATGAAACTGGGAGCTAATAGACCTCAGTTAGCCGCTACAAATTCCAAGGATTGATCACCAAAACTGGAGAAGCTGCTGGTTGAAGAAGGAAAAACTCGGATCTGGTTTTTTTTTTTTCGGTTGATCGTCGTGTACTGTAAGTGTGCGTGAGGGCGCGTCCGACGTTGGATCGACAAACGGTTTTCACCAGTAGATTCGTCTCGTCGAGGGCTTCGATTTGATATGTAGATCGTCTTCTGGTTCCTCACGGTTTGGAAGATATGCGTCTTTTAAGTTTCGACTTGCTTTTAGGGTTTTGGTGGTGGCCGGATTTATTAGGGTTTTTCGCTCAGAGAGTCTTATCGTGCTGATAACGTGTTGTGAAAACTTAGAAACTTTATTAATCACTGGAATGTATATATAGAGTACATAGGGAATCTAGGTTAAGTACAATGCCCTGATAGACCTAATGGGCCGGTATAAGAGTCCATATATGATATGTGTTATAACAGTCAAAATTTTTTGACCAAACAAATTGGTCGATCATTTCTGACCAGACAAATTAGTAAAAATTTATGATTATTCTTTATTTGGTCAAACATTTATGACTAATTTATTTGGTCAAAAATTTATGAGGTCAAAAGTTTATGACTCTCACTTGGTCGAAAATCCGTGGGTTATTTAATAAAAAAATTATAATTAAATTTGGTAATACATAATTAATTAAATATTAAATATAATATTAAATACAAAAAATTAAATTGTTGACTCATTTAAAAATTGAAGACTTATTAATATTATTAGGGCCCAATATCAGGCACAATCACGTCTAATATTTACTACAGCCTACAATATAGATGAATAAATATTAAAAAATGATTAAAAATAATTAAAAATAAATCTAAAAATTAATCTTCGATTAATCTCCGATTAATTTCCGATTTTTTTCTAAGCGCTAGACGGATTTCAACTGCCCGACTAACGTCTAGCACTTTTTTAAACATGGATAAAATCTATGGTCGATGACAATGTTGGATAGGATGAGCACAGACTGTGGTGGATGGCACCGGCGGTCAGTGGTGGTGGTGAACATGGAGCGGCGGTGTACACAACTAGTGATTCCTGTTCTCCTGATTCAAAAAGCGTAATGAATGATCATAGAGAAAGAGTAGATGGGGCTTACGGTCCAGCTTTTCACCAACACCTAGAACTTCCTGCACATTCCGCGTCATTATTTGATGGAACTCATGGAGTTCATCATTCAACTTGGCTATATTACGTTGCATACGTGTGTCATACCTTTTGACTCAACTCTACTCTAGTAGTCAATAGAGTCACTAGAATAGTCCATCCGGCTACGGTACAATTTCTTGGTTTTCTGTATGAAGGTATCTACAAAAAAAAAAAAAAGCAAAGGGAAAAGTATAGTGAGAAACCTGGTAATGTATGTTTCTAAGACACTGATGAATACAGAAGAGAATCTACAGTACACATACCAAATTTAATAAAGGCATAAGGTCGAGCAGCTGTTTCAATGTTAGGCCCATTGACACGTTTGAATTCATTCTTGAAATCTTCTAGGTATTGGAACGCGAGTTTCTTTGAGTAAGAGCGGTCACACATTTGCAAGTAGCAAACACGTCCTTCTATGATGTAACTAAAGTTTTCTGACCAAGCAAGACCATAGATATTTGGTTCTTTCTTGCTTCATGGTTTCAAGATAAAAGCATACCGATACGACAAAATCGGGATATAAATAATCACACGTAAAAACTAGTCAGGGATATGTTGGGAATGTCCCCAAATCATCTGTATTTTTCTAGTTTAAAATTGTAATGTCAATGAAAATCATATAATATTAGTTGGTTATAATGTTTTGCTAGAAACCGTTTATAATCTACGAACTATGTTACTAATATTATATCAAGGTCACACACCTAAGCAATTACAGTAAAACCTTTATAAATTAATACTCGATAAATTAATAATCATTATAAATTAATAAATTTTGCTAGTCCCAAGTCGGGGCAATGTAAAAATCCATCAAATTCGATAAGATAATAAGATAATAATTTTTTTGAAATCCTTATGTAAATTTATGGTTCCAACAAAAACATAAATTAATAATGATATAAAGTTATGCAAATATATGTAAATACAATATTCTAAAATATTACTAATGTTTTTGTCTTTACTTAAAGTTGAAATCTCATTGGTTTTCATCTCTCTAATTATTATATCAGTAGCTTTTATTGCTCTTTTACTATATATATTCAACATTTGTGATGATTTTTTGATGTGATAATTGATTTTCTTACCTTTAAATGTTTTTAAATGTATTGTAGTATTATCTTCATTTTTATCATCAGTAATACTGATAGTAGCCATGGTTTTTTTATAAATTTTAAACTTATGAACATGTATGTTTTTACACGGATAATCCAATATGGTGTTAAAAACTATTTTATTATGATAGTTATGATTCTTAATCATAATTTATATCATGTGATTTGTTAAAATTTTAAAATATAACATTATTATAAAGAAATTTTTAAAAAATTATATGTGGAAAGCAAATTTTCTCTATAAATTAATAATTATTAATTTAAAAATAAATTAATATCACGATAAATTATTAAATTATTATGGTCCTAACATTACTAATTTATAGAGTTTTACTGTAGATTGATGATATGTTGGGTTTTTTAGAAAAATATGTTATATAAGACATAGAATGCATATATACTATACATTGATATAGATATACACGTCACCAATATGTGGTGATCACACACACGTGAAGAGAAAGTAAATCAATTACTCTTGTTAAAAGAGTTTTGGGCTTGGGCTATTAAACAAAAACGTGTTACCCTAATACGTGTGTCTTCATTATAAAAGGTTATAATGAGATTTTGTAAAAGTAGCCTCTCACGAAAAAACCCTAAAGCATAATTAGTGATTAATTGTTTATCAAGTTTTGAAATCTGATCTAGTTTGTGTGTGTGAATACCAATAGAGGTACGATGTTTGGAGTGTTGTACAACCTTGTTTTTGTTCATTTCTTTGCAGGTAAACTCTAAATCTGATAATATAGATTCAATTTAGTATTTGTATAAGATCTTGGAAATTGAATTCATAGTTAGTTTTATAAATATTTACAAACCAATATGAATTTCACCAGCATAAAACGACATCTCAAACATAATGCAAAAGGACTGAAACGTGAAACTACACACAGATGCAAATTTTAATCAAACATCAATATGAGATCTATCAATGAACAAGCTTTTGCAAGCAGAATACAACCAATAAGAAATGGCTAATAAATAACCGATGTTAAGGATACTGGAAAGCATAGGGGCCAGATTCAACCACCATTCTTGAAGCTTCATTTTGACCTCTGGAAAGATTCTTAAACAGAGCCTTGACATGTTGCTTATACATGTCGGAATCTGGCAAGTCATGGCCATCGTCTAGGCCCTCTAAACATGATCAATTCAGCGCCTTCGTATTTACTAGGTAAACTTCTCTTATACATAAACACTAAGTCCTTCAACAATATCAATAATAGTAGTCGATCCCTAAACAAAATCAGGAGAGAAACAGAACCAAAAACAAAATTTACATCAATCAAATCCAATTCGAATAGAGATAAAAACGAAATACCAAACGAATACGAATTCACAACGCAGGCGGAGGCATAAGGATTGAGGTTAGGATAGATTTGTACCAAAAATTGCAAATGAATCAAAAGAAACAAACAAAAAAACGACGATTCAGAAACCAATGCTGAGATGGAGCGTAATAGGCATTGTCAGAGAAATCCTGAAGCTCCCATGACATCATACTCTTTGATTACACGACGAGACATGATACAGAGAAGAGATCGATTCTAGAAGCATGTCGTTGGAGAACTTGAATTTGATCGGTTGAAGAAATAATTTTTTTTGCTTCTCAATTTCTCAACCCAATAAGCTATTGACATGTGGCCTTTAAGAATTGTTTCTTAGAACAGCTCCATTAGTGAGCTTGGTAAAGAGATCCTTAATAATTTTTTTATTAATTAATTTGATTAATTAAAAGAGAGAGAATGTGTAATCTACGTGTCTGGGAAAGGAATTCACTAAAGGAGAGAGAGCATTTCGAAAAAAACAAAAAAAAAACAGAACCAATCAATATAGAACATGTGGCTTAGGGACCGCTCTTTAAAATCCTTATTTAAGGATCGGTCCAAAATAAATGTGGATTTTTTTTAAAAAAATTTAATTGTGTTTATGAGTCCGGGTCAAAAGATCCTGTTAAAAATGATCTTAAAAGCCTTAAATAAGAGTCGTTCTTAGCCAAATCATGAATTTATATTTATTTTAATGTTAATAATTCCTTAAAATTCTATCTAAGAAACTGCGTTAATGAATAATGATAGTCTAAAGCTACGAGCAACAGTCTTTTCTTGTTCACGCTTGAATTCTGTAACATTACGTTATTCCCCTGATTATTAAACGTTTAAAATTATCAAAGATTAATTAGTAATCTGATTTCGTTTAATCCTATCTTCTATTTTTATTTTCTACCATCCTATATATACTACAAGCATATGATTCACATGCTCTCAATCAAAACTATAAATATCTGATTATGTGAATTATAATAAAACCAGATAGTGCAATATGCACAATTAGTATATTCCATTTATGATGAAAAAACCAATTTATAAAATGCATAATGCTTTGGAAAAACTATTATTGTATACATTATTATACCGCTAGTAAAAATATTCTTTCAGAAAATTTTCCAGAAATGAAAGTATGGATGATGTGTTTGTGGAACTACTGCTTTCGTTGCTTCTAAGCTGTATTATATACATATGCATGGTCTTAAACTCTTCTACGTAGCATGATTTGTTGTAGCAGATGTATGATGATGTTAGCTTTCTAGTTTCTAGTTTCTAGGTTTTATACTTGATAAAGTCATAACTCATAAGCGTCTCCATATAATTAATAATATAGATTGCTTTTCTTTTTAGATACACTAGCCATTCCAGGAATTATTGGCTTTTGGAGTTCGGCTTTAATCATTCCTAAACAGGTGCTCAAGAAAATAAATACCCTCGCCAGCGCTTTCTTTTGGCATGGATTCCTCGACTCTGCTAGGGTTGCAAAGGTTTCCTAGTCTTCTATATGCTTCCCCAAAAAAGAAGGAGGCCTTGGTATGAGAAAGTTGAGTTAATGGAATGACATCTGTGGACTGAAGCTTATCTGGATGCTGTTCTTCAGAGCAGGATCTATCTGGGTTGCATAGATAAGGAGAAAATACCTCTCCCATTCACCTTTCTGGGCTCTAAATGACAAAAACTTGCTTTCTATCTTGGATGTTTCGAAATCTCCTAAGGCTTAGAGGTAAAGCAGCTTCTTTTCTTTGGATTTTGATCGGAAACGATACCTTTTTCTAGTGGGATCCAAGGACACCGTCCATTAATTCAGTTTTGAGACCGGATGGTCCCTCAAGGCTTGGCATTCCTCTCTTCTCAACAGTCAGCTAGCTTATTACTTCTCAGGGATGGCATCTTCCTCCGGCTCGGTCTGACTGGATACTTCAGTTATTCGCCTTTATCACTACACTCTTTATCTCCTTCGAGAGTGACAAAGCAGCTTGGATTCTTGATGACAAAATCTAGACACTACAAGAAAATGAGCCTTTTACAACGGCTATAATCGTTGTAAATTCAATGTAAAATAGGGGTTTGGACGAATTAGCGAGGATTTCTAAATTATATAGATCATCGTATATGACCAATTGTATTTCCAAATCTTCGTATATAGATCATTGTAAAATCAACGTATCATTTTGGACACTGTTCAAATCAACGTATAATCAACGTATAGTCATAAAATCAACGTATAGTCGATGTATATTTACGACGGTTTTGTAATCGTCCTAAACGGTCGTCATGAATTGATTGTTCTATTGTACTGAGAAATCTTTTTCCTCCTCCCTATTTTGGAACAAGATTAGGGAGTCAAGAGAGGTAGTTCCTTGGTTCCCTCTTGTCTGGCCTAAGATTAGAATCCCAAAACATGCCTTTGCGGCATGGCTTTTTGTTTTGGATCGCAACCCGACTCTTGATCGTTTATTTAGATGGGGCTGTGATGTAGAACAATTAGGTCTTCTGTGTGGTACGAGCAATGAATGTTGGGATCACTTATTTTTCTGACTGCTCGTTCTCGGAGGTGGTTTGGAAAGCTGTCATTGGGAAACTATTGATTGTGGCCCCTCCTTTGTCATGGAGCTTGTTTCAGCCCTGGCTCTTATCTGCATCTTGTAGCAATGTCATCTCTAGTGCTTTGATCCAGGCATGGCAACCCTGCATTTATGAGATTTGGTCAAAACGGAATCGCCAATATCATATATAGTGGTATTTCTTGGCCTCCGTCAAAAATCATCGAGCTTGTTCTGTCGGCTGTGAAGAACAAAGTCGCACTCACCGGTCTGATGCTCTAGCATTTAATGTCCTCTCCATTTTTCTCTTCTTATTATAGTATTTCTATTTCTTTTCTGGATTGTAAAAGATGAGTGGTTTCATCCTGGTCCTATGTAAATATTTTAAAATTTATGAAAGCCCTTTGACAGAAAGGAAAAAAAAGAAATTTTTTTAACGCAAGAATTGAGTGAAAATTTGGTAAAGTGTCAAATAAGTTCAGAATTGGAAATGTTAGATCTAAAACAGAGGTTTACATCCGTTTTACTATATAAATGCCAGAGCGAACCCTGTGTTTTAAATAAAAAGAGTAGTTTTACATATTATCATATATATTTTTAAACTTCAAAAATAATTTTCCAAAAAAATGAAAAAAGAAAGATTGACCGACTTTTTAAGTTTTGGAAGAAAAGTTCCTTTGGTAAAAAATAGATGTTGTGATCTAGGCATATTAATTATACCATTAGACCAAAGAAACTTTGCTAAATAAATTAATATGATACCATATACAGAAATAATTAATTAAATTTAATACTTATGTTAACAAATGTGGAAGACATATATGGTAATTATAGAGACAATCGTGTAAATATTGACATTTGGAAGGAAACAAAATAATAGACTTTTTCTTGGTCAACAAAAGAGAATGGATATTTATGTGTTTAATTCCAAGATTAAGTGTTTTATAAAGTGGCTTATTCAAGATCTAAAAATTTCAAGATTATTTTGTTTTCTTCAACAGAGACTTTATACAAAAAATAAACAAGAAGAAAATGAGTTACGCAAAAATCTTAGCGATTTTTCTTCTTGTAGTTATATTGGATGTTTCGTTGTACACCCAAAACGCTATGGCATCAGGTCTGTTTTATTTTAATATAATAGTTATTGCAATTAATAATTTTTGATCATATAAAATTTTAAAAGGAATATACAACATGGAGAAATGTGAGAAATTGTAAAAAGAATAGGAGTTTTTGAAATTATAATTTGGTATGTTATATGAATGTGGAATTTCTATATATATGTACAGAGATTAAAGCAACGAACGGCCTAAAATGCTTCAATAAATGCACGGCTTCATATAATATGTACGAATGCAATGTGGATTGCTTATCATCAGGGTACGCGGCAGGAGGATGTCGCTCCCAATCTCCTTCAGGACCTGAATATTGTTGTTGTTATTAGTTAAAAACTGATGATCCGTTGGTCTTCATTAATGTATCCTTTAACTATGATAGTTTCTTTGCTAATAAAAATATCATGAAATAAAACCATTGTTTGACCTGATGTTTTCGTAATCTTAGAAATCACAATTGTGAGTTGATTTGTGTTGGTGTCCACGCTTTTATATCCTAGTTATTTATAATTGTTCTGTTTCAATATTAAATATTTTTTAGTGTAACTATGTAAAGTCTGATTTTATCATATCTAACAAACTGGTAAAAATTCTCTCTAACATTTTTTTGTTATTGTTCAAAACCTTGATCCAAAAGCGCAAACTAATTTTGATGTTTACATTAGAGAAGTTATAACAATGAGTGTCATTGTATTCTATAACTGCAAAAGTATTATTAACACTGCTCTTGAACGGATATAGTTTACCCCTTTCTCATTTCCTTTATTTATTTTTTTTCTATCAATTTCTCTTTCCTAATATAATGACTAGGAGGTTTTGGGCTTAAAAGCCCGTATACCTCTCAGTCTACCTTGGAAAGCAGACTCCTCCTAAAGTGAATCGAATCTGTGACCTCCAAGATTCCTACGTTATTGGTAACCCAAGGGCTTAACCACTAGGCCAACTCATTGTTGGTTCCTCACAAGTTCTTCCATTTATCCCCATCTTTTGCACTCTTACTATATACAGTACTATCTAAATTATGAAGGTGAATTGTACAACTACCTCGGGGCCTATGATATTTGGGGTCCAGTTTATTGTTTTTAGAGGTTTTGATATTGATTTTTTTTAATAGGTGCAAATTGTTGTGAGTGAGAGGAATGGGATGATAAAAAGAATAATTATAATGGAACAAAATAGAGTAATTAGGCATTTTCACTCTAACGCTTTTACTTTTCTCAATTGTAGAAAACCAAATTCTAGTTGAATTAAATTTAGGGAGAATGCTTTTATAATACCACTTCAATTAACACTTGCCTCCTTAATGTTTTTTTATATTTTTTGTTAATTCTTGACATAATTACTCTTTAGTTATGGCTGTTTTAATTAGAAATAAAATCAAAACTATTTTTATTTTTTTTGGAAAATTCCTAAAAATAAAATAAAATATTCTCGGAAATTATTTAAAGAATAAAAATATTAAAAAAATATTTTCTACGTAATGGAGAATGCATGTTCTACGTTCTTTTCTTTTATAACTCAGGTATATCAGCTGAATTAGGGGACCGCCGGCAGCGCAGTTACGGATTTCAAATCCTGACTATAGACCAGCGTATTATCCCCCCCAACACCAACTAATCATGGGGCTCAGAAAGACCATGTGAATGCCCCGGTGACCAAATGGATTAAATGTTGCAATTTCTGCTTCTATGGGGAGTTGATCCATGGCCTAGACTAACAGGGCAACTCTCACCAAGGAAGGGAACCACCCCACTACCACCATTTAGTTCATGTTCTACGTTCTACATTTACGTAGAATCTGATTTCTTGTTCTCTCTCATTATTCTACAAGCATAATTGTGAAAAAATTTCCACCTGTTGGTTTTGTAGAGGTCTTTAAATATTCTACCTATTGGTGAAAAACATATTCTATGCGTTACACTATATTCTACATTATGGTAGAATATAAGTTTTACAAATACACTATATTCTACATGTTGATAGAAAATAAGTTCTACTGAATACAATGTATTCTACATTCTCATAAAATATCATTTCTATTTATTAGACTAGGTTCTACGTTATTGTAGAATAAATCTTATACATACAGTCTGTATTCTACATTAATATAGAATACGAATTCTACCAGAATCTGAGAAAATCTAGAAAAAGTGGTTAACAACCAGAACTGAATATTTCCAAAAATCTTTTAATTTTCTTTTTTTCAGGTTTTTAGCTTTTGTTTTATGTTTTTGTTTTTTTTTTTTGGCTATCATCGCTATCTTCTTCTTCTATTCCATTGATAAGCATATTTTCTCTATGTTTGACTAACTTCTACTTTAAACATGCTACATTTCTATGTCACTAGTGGGTCATGGAAATATGGAACAGATAAGAAGTGGATTTTTATGGCTAATGAAGAAAAACGAGCAAGGTTAGTTGCTGTTGAATCAAATATCACTCTTGCCAAGTTAGAAACGATGGTTCTACAAGACTATAGAGTAGTCAATCACAAAGCTAAATTTAGTTATCTACCGAGTGATTTGATTGATATTGTAGGTTCTCCACCAGTGAGTATCACCAATGATTGTCAGCTCAAAAATTTTGTTGGGTAGTCTAGAAATAGAACCTCGATAAATATGTGTGTGACATTCACCTCGTATGCTGAATATCATGAGATTCCTATGAACATGAAATTCATGAAGAATCCATCTGAATCTAGCTGTATGAAAAACAATGACGCAATGGTTGTGAAGTCAAACGATGATGATATTAGAGGCAGTGGCCAAAACGTGGAGGAAGAGTTAAATGAACCTGTTATGGCTGACAACAAAGTTGACAGTGATAAGAATGTTCGTCTTAACTTGCTTGATATTGTAAAGAATGATCAAATTTTTAGAAGCAAAGTTGAAGGCTTCTTTGGAAATTACTGCGATGAAGGATAATTTTGAATACAACGTATTGGAATCAACCAAACGAGTGTGGTGTATACGCTGCAAAGAGAAGTCATGCAACTGGTGTGTTCTTGCACAATATCTAGAGGGGTCACTTTATTTCAGAATCAACAAGTATGTTGCTCAACATACATGCGCTCCTTCTACTAAAGACGAAGTCGGTAGGACAACTTCAGCGAAAACAATTGGTAATCTGATTAAGAATAAGTACGAGGGTGATAATGAAGGTCCTAAACCAAAAGAAATCATTCAGATTATTCATACTGAGCATGGATGTGACATCTCTTACGACCATTCATGGGAATCTCGTGAGTATGTGATTAGTGTTATCACAGGCATTCCTAGGAAAATCTATGCAAAAATTCCTAAATATTTGCACATAAGCGAATCCAGGGACCCATACGCAGATGAAACTGATATTATTGGACGGTTTAAATTTCTGTTCATCTGTTTCAGTCAATCGGTTTGATATTTTTACAAAGCTATTTGCAGGGTAATCGTTGTGGATGGGACATTTTTGAAAAGCAAATACAAAGGGGTTTTCATTTCAGAGAACGACATGTCATAGGAGTGGTTTATGGTGCAACTGAAAATTTTCATTGCGGATTAAGTGGGTTTGGCTTTTGTGTCAGATAAAAATACTTTCGTAATTAAAGCACTTGAGAAAGTGTACCCACAATCTAGCCATGGAATCTGTATCCACCATTTTCTGAATAATGTGGTAACATATTTCAAGATACAGGGTTTGACTGGTTTTATTGCAAAAGAATCTATAGAGTACATGGTTGCTGATTTTGAGACCAAGTTTGCTACCATTTTCTCTAAGTCCAGGTGTTGGAAAGTGTCTTCAGGAAGCAGGTGTTACGAAATGGGAAAAATGAAAATTCCTTGGATATAGGTATAACGTTAGAACCGATAACCCAGCTGACTCGATAAATAATACATTGCGATCTCCTAGAGAGTACCCAATTATTCCTCTACTGGAAAGTCTCAGAGAAATGTTAACTAGGTGATTTGGGTGCAGTGGGCAACTAAAAGTTTTACCTTAAACAAGCTGCAAGTGCACAGAAAACGCAGTAGTATTTAGGTATTGAATCCGTAGGGATTTGTGTGTGACGACTCCTAACTGATACTAATAACAATTGTAAACCTAATCAGATTAAAGGGTGTTTTGTGTGTCACTAATTCTACTATACTAAGCAAGAAATAAAACTAAATGCAAGAGATTAAAGCTATATGTAAAAAGCGCTGGGTATTAGGGTTTATCTCTAGGGTTCATGATCTTTAACATAAGGAATTTAGATAAAGATTTTCTATGATTTTAGAACTAGAATAGACACAGGTAAGATTAGCCAATTGTCGTCACCCTAATCATCTAATCACTCAAACTCGACAAATAGCTTCCGTCTCTTGCCACGAGAGAGATCATGCATTAACTAATTGGAATTCATCTCGGCTCACGTTTCCTCTGTAGGTAGCTTTCGTCTCCTATGACAGTTACGTCCATAAGATCCAGATCAGGCAATCTGATATAACATTGTCGTGGCTCTGAGTAAACCTTAAACCAGATGCTATGTGATCAATCCAGCATACATTTATAGGATCGGGATGAATGAGAGAATCATTTAAAAACGAAATCTTTAATCTAAAAAAGCCTAGATGTTTTCGATCATGGGGTCCCTTTTGATGACCTTTTACCCAACAAGGTAACTACTCAGACATACCTGAGCTTAATATCATCATTGGTTTTAAAATAGAAAAACAGTAAAGTAAAGAGATAAAGGATGAAGAAAAGCTTCTCTTATTGAAGACAGAGTTGGCAAGAAAGCCTTCTACAAAATCCTTTCCGAACTTAGACCCACGAAGGTCAAGGCTGCCATTTATAAAGCTCCTTTCAGGATTGTATTGTTTGGTTACCTTTAATTATCAAATAAAACGACCAAGTGTCGTTAGTTCAATTGGTAAAAAGGTCTTAAGCAAAACCTAGAAATTACAGGATCGAGTGACGCTTGGGACAGAACTAATATAGCATGTTGTGGTTTTGGGCCTGAGGGGATTACGGGCTTTGGTCCAAAATCTCCTAAAAATTATCAATAAAATGCAAGAATTTTCTTAACTTTGACACAAAGCTTTTGTGCTTGCCATCACATTAAAACCCTTGTCGAAACCAGGTCCTCCAACTCTCCAAATGCTCTTGATTCGTGATTATCTCTAGGCTTTCACACCTTGGGTGGTTCACTTCATTCCACTTAGTTCATCTGTCCCTGCCGTTTAGGAATTAACCAGTTGAGCATCTCACTTGGTGAAACCTGACCCTTGCTTGTGTCAACGTTCACTCCGAGCCCAATCTTGTATTAATAATCTACCTAGTCCAAGCCCATAATGAAACTATTCACACAACAAACAAAAGCAAATACATTAAAGGAAGTCATTATGTAATGGAGATTACGACGATTAATATCTTATATATAAAAGTCTCAACTCTCTCCATATGAATGCCACATCAGCATTTAAGAGTTGATATGAGAATGACATGTGTCATATTTTTTAATTTAAAATTACAGTTTTTAAAGAAAATTAATTAAGAAATTTTAATATTAAGTCACTACAAAATGAAAGGTTTTTTCTATTAGTTGATTCTTAAATAACATTTATATAATTACTAAATGAGATTTTATGTTATAATTAATTAAAATTGTTGTTTTTTTAATAAACTCTTCATTTTTAATGATATTATATTTTAAATTAATTGATTTATAATAATATATTAACACATAACAAATGATGATCATATTTTTTTAGGAAAATAAAAATATATAAATTTGAAATAGTTTAAAAAAACGCATTTAAAATTATATTTAAAAGAAACAAAATAATTAATAAATTTTAATATTAAATTTTAAACCACTTCAAAAAATGTATTAATTTCTTATTAAATAACATTTATGTAGATATTAACAAGAATTTATGTTATAATTAATTAAAAAATTGATAGTGTTTTGTATAAACTCTTAATTTTTTTAATGAGATTTTATTTTAAGTTGATTGATTTATATTAATATACTAACACATAACAAATAATGATTTTTATTTTTATAGGAAAATACAAAAATATATAAATTTGAAATAGTTGAAGAAAAAAACCCGCACATTATGTGCGGGTATTCATATAGTTTAAAACAAAGAAAGCTTACTAGATCATTGAAGTGGTCAAAGATCCAACAAAAATCTTTGGTTTTAGAGTAGAGCTAGGGAGGATCGGAATACCCTTTAAAACTTAGTTCTAAAATGTGCAACTTAGTATTTATACAGAGTACATAGTCGACCGGGTCAACCAAGAATAACCCAGATCGACCCAGGACAAAACAGGTCGGGTCAATAATAATAAAGAGATGCAACTCACATAGGCCGTGTGTGGTGGTCATGTGATTGCCATGTTAATCATAAAAATACTGTCTTTCTTCTTTTTATCTTCATATTTGGGGCATCGCTTAGGCGGCGTTATGTGGACCAGTGTGAACGCCTCCAGATTATTGGTCCTTTACTGCAGCTTGACTCTTTCCATTGGATACCTATATCGCCATTTTGACCCTTTTCTTTCACCAGAAAATTTTGCTCCATCTTCAACACTTTGTGTCGGCTCTCTACACCGGTCTAGCAATCAATGCAGATATCTCATAGGATGTTGGAATAAACTTGAAGAGCAAGTTATCTAATTCCTAATTAAGTTGTGTATAAGAAAAAAGAGGTTTTTAGGAAATATTCTAATTTGTAGTTCTATTAGGTTTAGGAAATATTTCCTATATAAAGAGTTGCAGAGGATGAAGGTTCTACTCAAAATCCACAAGGTCTGGGAAGTTGTGGAAGCAGAGTCGAACAAAGGAGAGAAGATCGACATAGCTATGGGTCTAATCTTTCAATGAATACCTGAAACGCTCATATTACAAGTTGGAGAGTTAGATCGGTGAAAAAAAATTGGAACACGGTCAAGACAAGGCATTTAGGAGCAGAGAGAGTCAGAGAAGCTCGACTACAAACCTTAATGTTCGAGTTTGATCGATTGAAGATGAAGGATACCGAAACCATAGATGAGTTGAGTGGCAAGCTATCCGAAATTTGCTCAAAGTCAGCTGCTTTGGGAACAAGTATCGAAGAACCTAAGCTGGTTAAGAAATTTCTCAAGAGTATTCCTCGAAAGAAATACATACACACTGTGGCATCACTCAAACAGGTTCTCAATTTTAATGCTACAAACTTCGAGGATATCGTAGGATGTTTAAAGGCTTATGAAGAACGTATACACAAACAAGTGGAGGAAGCTCAAGAGAACCAAAGCAAGTTAATTTATGCGAATACAGAAAAACAACCAGACCAAAATTAAAACGTTGAAAACAGAAGCAGAGGTTTTGGAGGACACTTCTATAATAGAGGAAGAGGTCGTGGAAGATCATACGAGGCAAGAGATTTGTCAAAGATAGTATGTTATCGGTGTGATAAAACAGGGGACTTTGCCTCAAACTGTTCGGATAGACTTTTAAGCTCTAGGAAACGAAAGAGAATGATGTTGATGAAACACAGCAAGCAGAGAAGCTAATGATGCATGAGGTAGTGTTTCTTAACGAGAAAAACGTGAAGCCAAACAACTTTGAGACATCAAGCGACCGTGAAAACGTGTGGTATCTAGACAATGGGGCTAGTAATTATATGTCCAGAAACCGAAATTAGTTCTCCAAGATCGATGAGAATATCACAGGAAAAGTGAGGTTTGAAGATGATTCACGCATTGATATAAAAGGTAAAGGGTCTATACTCTTTGTGACTAAAGATGGGGAAAGAAAAGTGTTAGCAGACTTCTATTTTATACCAGATTTAAAGAGCAATATCATCAGTCTAGGACAGGCCACAGAATCGGGGTGTGATGTCAGAATGAGGGAAGACTACTTGACCTTGTATGATCAGGATGGAAAATTACTGGTGAAAGCAAACAGATCGAGAAATCAGTTATACAAGGTATATATGGAGGTGGAAAACACTAAATGTCTGCAGATCATGACATTGAGTGATTCAGCGAAGTGGCACGCAAGGCTAGGTCACGTTGGTATAGAAAAAATGAAGACCATGATCAAGAAGAATTTGGTTACTGGTATACGGAGTATCAAAGTCGAGAAAGAAACATGCCCTTCGCGTCTACTTGGCAAGCAGATCAAGAAATCTTTCCCTCTAGCAAAAACATACCGACGCGCACTTGAACTCATTCATAGGGATCTTTGTGGACCCATTACACCTGCAACTGTGGCACAAAACAGATATATATTTGTCTTGATTGATGACTATTCCAGGTATATGTGGTCGATTCTCCTGAAAGATCAGGGTGAAGCATACAGCAGATTCAAGAAATTAAAGGGGTTGGTTGAAGAAGAAACAGGAATGAGTATCAAGACGTTTCGAACTGATCATGGTGGAGAGTTCACGTCTCAAGAGTTCCAAGATTTTTGTGCAAACTCTGGTATACAAAGACACTTGACTGCTCAGTATAGTCTGCAACAAAATGGGGTCGTAGAAAGGCGAAACAAAACTCTTTTGGAGATGATAAGAAGCATCATGAAGCATATGAATATTCCAAACTACTTATGGGGAGAAGCAGTCAGACATGTTATATATCTCATAAACAGAGTCGCGACAAAAACATTGGATTCACAAACTCCATATGAAGTTTTCAAGAATAAGAGGCATAATGTCGAACATCTACGAGTCTTCGGTTGCATCGGCTATACAAAAACATCAGCTCCTCACTTAAAGAAACTAGATGATAGATCACAAATCCTGGTTCTCTGGGAACAGAACCTGGATCAAATGCTTATCGGCTGTTAAATCCAAGGAACAAGAAAATAGTGGTAAATAGAGATGTCGTTTTTGACAAAAAGAGGAGCTGGAAGTGGAACAACTCAAGAGAAGAAGGAAGAGACTGTGGATAATTTAGGTCATATCTTCTACCTAAATGCTTGTCCAATCACTTGGTGCTCTCAGAAGCAAGAGATTGTGGCACTATCTTCATGCGAGGCAGAGGTTATGGCAGCTACCGAAGCAGCCAAACAAGCAATCTGGCTTCAAGAGTTGCTCGGCGAAGTCACATGTACAGAGTGTGAAAAGGCAAAGTTTTGTATATATAGATAATAAGTCAGCAATAGCATTGACTAAAAATCTAGTCTTTCATGGGCAAAGCAAACATATACCCCGGAGGTACCACTTTATATGGGAATGTGTAGAGAATGAGCAAATATTTATTGAATATGTTCCTGGAACTGAGCAGAAGGCTGACATTTTGACAAAAGGCGTTTGGAAGGATCAAGTTCAAAGAGATGAGAAATCTCATTGGAGTTCAAAGAGTATCCAAAGAGGACTTCAAGTTTAAGGGGAAGATTGTTGGAATAAACTTGAAGAGCAAGTTATCTAATTCATAATTAAGTTGTGTTTAGGAACAAAGAGGTTTTTAGGAAATATTCTAACTTGTAGTTCTATTAGTTTTAGGAGATATATAAACTTATATAAGGAGTTGCAGAGTTGTTGCAGACCCTTAAAAAGTTTGTGAGCTTTAGTTTTTGAGTTATTTTTCTAATGCAATAAGAGAAGAAGCTTTTATTAATCTTGTTATCAAGTGTTCAAATAATATAGGAATTGGTTGAAGTCGTCCCTCTCTCTTGATAACGCCTTTTTGTATCGGCCCAAGAACCAGTGCAAGCCTCTCTTCTCGTGTTTCTTCCTTCTCTCTGGCTCCTCTTCGGCTCTTCATCATCTACATGCTTCTCTGCTCAAAGTTTCTTCTCTTCTTGCCTCAAAAGTACCTAAAATGACCAAAATGTAATTGCAAATCCAATATATACATGATACATCCTAGGATTCTTATATGCAACATGAGAGAAATCTAGACTAAATTGCCTAGAACAATTGCCACAGGCACATTTTGAAAAAGACTAAACTCATTGATATTTTGAGAAAAAATTTGGGTCGAAGAGAGTTTGAATATTTTCTTCTCTAACTGAGAGTTTGTAATCTACACACTTCACCATAGGAAAAAAGGTATTCTGCCATCAATGGGCTCATTTGGTCGTTGTGTAAATAACAACAAGGTCAAACTTGTTTCTTGTATTTAAGACATTGCTATAGTACCTTTATCAATAAGAAACCTCTTTACAATTTAAGGCTTCTTGACAATGTTAGTTATTACAAATGCCATAAATCTCAGAGACAGAGAAAACAAGGTAAAGAGTCTTACAACACAAACGAGTTTATTTCACATATCTCACTCCACTCAAAGAAAACCCGAAACCTAAGGACATAAGACATTGAATCCCGGGCCACCATAATAAAAATGAGTTCCCCACTCCTTAGTATAAGCCTTCAACGCGTTGTAACATGTGGTGTTCCGCGTCTGAAGGATAAAGTCTTGGACCGGTTGCAAGTAGTAGAGGTAATCAATGATGCCAAGATTTCGAAAGAAACTGGCTTTTCCGAAGCCTTCCTCGGCAAAGTGGCCTGAACCCATCTGTGTGGTCGTATGCTGGCCATAGCTGTGTGTGTTCACAACCTCGCCACCCAACTGCACCAACCTTGCAGGGCCATCAGCTAGATGTGTAAACAGTTTTGCCGGCCAATAGCCAACAAATGATTGGCCAATACCCAGCCCCCAGTTCCCATCGTTAGTATCCTACACAATTCACAAAACAAAGTAACAAACTAAACATAGATAAGCAAGACAAAAAAAAAAAAAAAAAATCAAGGGCAAAGCATCAAATCAAATAAGAATTAAATCATTCGAATCTAAACTGAATCAAAATGTCTACAAAAAGTACCTTCCATATGACCATGGTTAGGTCATATTGGTTGCCGCCATAAGAAGAGATCGGAGAAAAGGCACCACCTATCGCAAAGTCGTTACTGACTTGTACAAAACCAGGACAATCGAAGTTGAGACACCCTGTCTTTTGATATGTGTCTCTCTACAAAACATTTTACACGTTATTTTCATAATCGTTAGTAACTTTATAAGAATAATACCAACAAACAGTTCCTAATATATTCGCATTTTAAAAGCGGACAAACGGTATAGTTAGTTTAGTGTTTATCGTAATATAACAAAAACTTGAAAATTTGAGTGTTCGTAAATTATATATGCCTCTTTTTGATAAATATATACTTCATTGTTCTTCCTTTTTTAACTTCAACTTCATTAATCAACAAATGATTATACTTCCCACAAGTAAGAATCGAAAATAAACCAAATTCGGTTAACAATTCACGAGATTTCTTTGATAATAAATATGCAATACCATTTAGAACATAAAGTCGTGCGACGCACACATAAATATGATTAACTTAAGTTCAGTTTCTTGATCCTAATTAGTATTAAACAATAACACAACTCATGTGTGTGCTTGAGTCTATAATATTAAAATCAAGGAAAAGAATTGCAAACTAATTAAACCATACCGTCCAATAAATGAAAAGTCGTGGCTGGGTGTCATGATAACGATCAGGAAAAACCTAAACAATAGAATTATCACATTAATGTTACTCTTTTGTCCATCGATCTTTGTACACAATCTAAATAATTATGATGATTTATAAAGAAGAAAAAAGGAAATCAAACCTGCCAACCAGCTTCAATGGTGTTAAGATCAGATTCGTTGTAATGTCCGGCGACAAGCCAAATCTGCGACAAACTAAACTCGTTTGTTCCTTGTTCTACAACTGGATCCCACACATTCATCGTCGCTTGTGTTCCATATATTCCCCGTAAATATACCATCTCTCCAATGGCGTACTATTATTTACACCAAGTTAAACCAATATTAATAGGTCAAATTAAGTCAAATTCCTAACCTTATTCTTTTTTTTTTTAACAAAGAAGAAAACAACATATAGGCATGTGTAATACTGTTGGTATATTTATTAGAAAGTGACCTCGTGTCCTTCCTCGGCGGGGTATGGAAAGTCGGTCCAATGTTTTTTACCAAATTTTTTGGCCATGCTCGTGCTACGTCTTATGGGCACGGTATTGTCTGGACAGCTTGTGCCATTTCGGTTCCACATTTGCGACACTCTTTTCTCTTCTATTTTTGTGATCATCTTTGGTAATCCTGCAGGTGCATACTGTATTGGAAAAATAATTAGTATTGAAAAAGAATAAAATACCATAAAATATCATTACAATAAGATGAGATCAAACCACACAAACTGAGAATCTACAAATATTAGTGTCCTGGCTATTGGTTATCATGCTAGCATTACGATCCTCCCTTTTCCTCCTAGAACAATCTACCACATGTCTCAGATTTCTCTGTTTTTCTGCATGCTTTAATGTGGTTGAAAGTCATATTTTCATACAACAAGTAGATTTTTTTTATTTGGTTCATCTCAAGATATTCATGCATGCGCCTACAAAACAGATTTCGTTGAGGCAAAGGCTTAAAAGGATTCTATTACATTGTCAATGGTGTAAATTTTGCTCTACCGTCACTTGTTTCAGTCATAGTATGGTTGAGGAAGGTAGAATGCAATTTCTTTCAATCCATAGTCACTTAGTCATAATATCCATAAGGTTCACTTTTGAACACAATTAGTCATAATCCATAGACTATGAGAAGGAAGGCGTACAACAACTTAAGCTCCAATTCAGAGCCTATGTGAGAATGGAGTATAGTTTTTCTCCCAAGACTTTTCCCCACGATTTTATATATTTCATGAAATTTATGTTTTATGTTGAATTAGGTGACTTCATATGATTAGTTATGTTAGCTTATAACCCTCGTTGAAAGCCTAGATCAAATGCTTTTTTCAGTTCAGGTTAGGAACCAAACGTACCTGAATCTTGTGATTTCGCAGGAGCGGGTGATCAAACGCTGGCTGCTCTCTCACAGGGACGCAGTCGATGATGTCGCCATCTGGACTCTGTTTGATAAGAAGAGTATCATTATATTTCTATGTTTCTTATATCAATATCTTTCTAGGTGTTCCATTTTCGTTTACAAAATGAATGTTTTGTTTGTTTTGAAACACACAATGTTTTGATCTTATTTACTAAAACAAAGTTGCTACTATGGCATGTAAACGTGTAACACAAAAGTAAACAAACTAAAATATAAAATTGAGTCTCTAACAAAATTAATATGATGAGAGTACATATTTGATTGTGCAGTAACAAAGAAAAAAATGTAATGACTACATACCATTTCATGAAGTTTACCAGATCTGGGTAAGTAGAAGCTTATCATTATAAAAATATAAGTTAAATATTTCTCACCCAAATAAAACGTTAATAGAAAATATGATAACTTGCCAAAAAAAAGAGAGAAAGATATATACTAGCTAGTAAATATGGAAGAGCCATTAATGATATTTAATTAATTTTGTTCGTATTAAAGATAGTTAGGTTCGGATGTTTGATTTCGTTTGAAAAAGAAAGTAAATTCTCCAAAATCAAATCGAACAGATGATCCGAATCAACCTATACCAAATTTTAATCCTCATGGCTACGTCGATCTCAGTAATATTACCTCGATGGTGAGGACAACGGTAGGCTTCTTCTGAGTCATCTCAACTCTCGAACTGGAGAGTTGTATGAAGCAAAGACTTAGTAATAGCTTGGCAATTAATAGCTCCATTATCGAAAGAGGAAGAAGACCGAGTATTTAGCTCCGGTCCAATTTGGTATCAGACTTCAGAGTGATCTCAACTCTATGGATGAGCTCAATTCTCGATTCTCAAGTTTTTGGCAACGGAAGCTACAATATAAAATCTCCGATTATTGGCTAGCATATTTTCTCTATATGGTAAAAATGATCTAATATATCTGCATGGAACCGCCTCTCTATATATGGCGCAGTGTTGCTTTCAACTTTTGTAAAAGAATCTAATTTTCGTAATTAAGGACGTGTAAGAACTATAGTTAATTGAAATTAAATTACTGTAGAAAAAATAGATTGAAATAACAGAAAATATCGAGTATAGATTATTATATATTAGGTGATTACCCGCGTTATATCCATAGTAAATATCAATCATAATTCTTTTATTCGAATATGTAAATATAATATATATATATATATAGATAACTACAAAAATGTTGGCTGGTATTTATAATTACAAATATATGTGCTGATTATGCAATTGTAAATAATGATTAAAATAATATTTTTTTTCATACAATTACATAAATACTAGCTAATTATTAGTTTTATAATTAATCTTCTATTATTATTAGGTTTTTCATCCACGCTACAAGTGGATATGTTTTTATATACTATTTTTATAAAAAATATTATATGAAATTAAATATATTTACTAAGATAAATTTATGTATATTATTAAATGTAATAATATGTATAAATAATTACAGTTTTAATCTTAAAAATTATATCTAATTTGTGAGGTTTTATGATCTTATTTTGAATATATAATATATTTTGTTTAGAAAACTTGTAATTTAGTATAATATTTATAACTAGTATACTAAAGCTAACTATAATAGTATACTAAAGCTAACTATAAATATAACAAAGTAATCAAATGCTATATAATAATCATAATATTGATACAAAAATGAAAAGTTATACATCAGTTTTCCTAATAAATAAAATCATTTTTTCATCGTTTTAATTAATTTCATCCTTGTTATATATATTTTCTATAAAAATAACAAAATAATAAATATAAAAATTATTTTATTTTCTTAATTAATTTAACCAATACAAACTTCTAATTTGTTATACTACATTGAAAAACAAATTAATAATTACAATTTTTGCTTTTAGATTCATGACAACTTTTGTCTTGTATCATATTATCTACGTTAACTTTTATATAATTTTTAATGGTTATACCTCACTTCTTCCAATCAAAGTAAATAAGTTTTTTTTTTCATTTTATTTAATTTCATTATCATTATATATGTTTTCTATGGAATACAGAAAAGGCAAGATAATTAAAATTTAGCTACTTTATTAATACAGATCTTCAGTTTAACTTATAAATTTAGTTACTTTTATTAATATTGAGTGTGTTTAATAAGCACAAATCTTACTCTCGTATCTAAGAAAAAATTAGTTTTTGAAACCAAAACAAAAATAGTTATGTAATGAACATTAAAACAAATTAATAACTAAAAAACCGACAGAATAAATATGCTTTTCATTTATGTGGAACATATAGAAATTGTAATTTTGTCCAATGACATATATCAAATGCACTCACAATTATGTAACTTCAATTAAGTAATTTTAACTTTTAAATAAAATTTGAGACCCATATGTGGTAGAAATCAAAGCGGAAAGATCCTGCATGAGATCCTTTGCGGCAACTGGTTGCGGTCACTCTTCCTTGTGATGAGGCTTACTGATTGTAATCAGATGCTGTTTGGTTAGCTAATTATTACCATTGTGGTTCAGGTTGAGTTTTTTAAAACTCTGTCAGATTCCATGTTATTCCAAGGATCTCCTCGAATACCTCGGTCTCTTCTGCCTTAATGGCAGAACTTCTTCTTCTATTCCCAGCGTTTTGTTTTTCAAAATTTTTGGTTATCAATTCACACTGGATGTACTCCTAGTTTCTACTGCAATAGAACAGTGATGTAGTTGTATTATAAAGGATTCGGAATCCAGAGGACCAGTGTTACTCTATGTCTTTGCGAGGATTGAATTAAAGCTAAGACAAAAGATGGTTTGTTGTGAAAACTAAAAAGTAAACAGAATGGCAAACAACGATTTAAATTCAAATTAAAACAAGCACTAGACCAAAGCAATTCGCAGGAATTTCAGAGATAAGAACCAGATGACTATTCAGGGCACAAGTGTAACGCAAGTCTCGAACTCAAACAGAAAAACTTATCGATCCACTGTCGTGATCTCGATAACTTTGTCTAACAACCTAAATCCTAAACTGTCGTTTGAACCTAGAAAATTGCAGACAAGCATTAGCTAGCAGGTTTGATATGTTCACGATTTGCCTTAACTTCAACTGTCGTTGGCTAAGGACAAATCGCTCACCAATGTTTATTCTAGCAACCTATTATACTTTTGATGAATAGATTAACCTAAAATCGCAGATTGAGTGATCAATTCAACCTAAGCAACAAGTCTAACAATGGCGAAGACGAAAGATATCAAACCCTATTTGCATCTAATCCTTTAACTCATCAAAACCTTTGAACGCTTTAATCTAGCTAAGAGATCTACTCAGACATGGAGAAAAGAAACACAGCAACAGATGAAAAGAAATTCATGGATTAAAATCGCAGAAGAGATAATAGGGTTCAGAATTCTTCTCAAAGTGTAGCAGATTTCTTCTCCCAAAAGCTTACAAGTAAAAACTCTATGGTTCAGGAAATTGTAAAAAGAAAGCATAAAAAGTCTGTAGAAAAACGTGATGATAAAAGGTAGGCGGCTCTGGACTTTTTATTCTTTTTCTCCTCCTAAAATTAGGTAAAAGTCGATTTCCTTATTTCTCTCCAGGCGGTTGGAGCAGGTGCTCCACGAAAGGGTGAAATCGGGAGCAGGTGCTCCCGACCAAGAATGATCCAACTTCGTGTAAATTGGCCTCTTTTGGTCAGCTTCAGCTTCTTTTTGCTCCAATGCCTTCTAAACACTCCAATCCTCTGATAAGGCCTCTAAGTCACCTGAAACTTCCTGAAAAGACTCCAAAAACTCCTAAAACAATTAGTAAACACAGGTTAGAATGAGCCAAAATCTCCACTCATCAACTCCCCCGGACTTGGATCTTTGTTTGTCCTCAAACAAACTCACATTCAATTCCAAAAGAATGACTCGATAAAGGTGGGAACTCGCAAAACTCAAAAGACCGTAAACCTGACCAAGGCATGTGACAATCTGCTGCAAAAATCAGTCAAAAATCTAACCTCCATGTACTTCTCCGTAGACACTGCAGCTTTCTAGATTAGTCCCTCAATTTCATAACATCATCCATGTCCCATCATTTCTGAGTCTCATCGATAAAACTAGTGCCAAAGACCTTCTAGACTCGTTCCTATACTTATACCTTAACAAATTGACCATACTACACAAGAGTATCTTTCCTCTCCCCCGAACTTATTCACTTTTCAAGCTGTTTTATTTCATTTTTTTTTTGGGCACATATAACAAGGTTGCCACCGAATCCCCGGTTTGTCCCCTCATTATATATCAAAGGTGTAGGCGAATAATGGGGTCACAGGAAATTTTCCTACCCCTCGCTTCCATCCCTTGTGTGATCATTCCACTTTAGAAGTAAAATAATGAGATCCTTGGAAATTTTCCTAACCCTTTACTTCTAAAAGAAAATCATTTCAATCTTTTCTGCCTTTTATTATTTTTTTTTTTTTAAGAAACAGCCTGAAGCAATGCTTAGAACATGAGAGAGGAATACCAAAGCTATCACACATGTCTTTATTTGTCAGGTAAGAATGAGGAGTCAAGCCCTATGAGCACTAACCTGATCGATGAGGAAAAATGAAGAGCTGAGAAATTAGCTCAGGTTCAATGGACTAGTCAAGAATTTTGGGCTCCTCTAGTCTACTGCTTTGTCTTTGAATTTTCCATTAGTCGATCTAGATGATTCTGCAGTAATAATCACTAAAAGAAGATGGTCAAGATTCACAAATGGTCTGAAATCATCATAGAATTGGTCCTCATTCCCACAAGCTTTGACTTGACTCATATAACCAACTGACTCAAAGAAACTAAATGACTCAAACAAACAAACTAAAAACTGACTCAAAGAAAGTACTAAAAGGAAGAAAGCAAAAGAAAGAAGTACAAGGGACACGACCCTCCCCCGGACTTACTTCACACCGTCCCCGGTGTAAAAATAAGCTAGAGAAGTGTCCAGAAAACTTACCTGGTTCGCACATGTAGAGCACCATGGCGGAGCAGGTACTCCGGAACAGAGCTGGGTGCTCCCTCGTCTTTTGTTCGTCTGGAGCAGGTGCCGGAGCAGGTGCTCCGGTTTCCCTTGGGTTGCTCCTTCGTCACTTTTTACGTGGTGAGCACCCTGGCGGAGCAGGTGCTCCGACTGGGGAGGCGGTGCTCTTTCGTCAGTTTTTACGCTTTGAGCAACCAACCCAGCAGATGGAGCAGGTGCTCCGGTTGGGTGCTCTTCCTTCTTCTTCCTCACATCTTCTCTTCCACGTTGAACAACTTCTTACCTGTTTTTTTTTTTGTTTTTTTTTAAAACAAAGAACCTAAAAACAAAGTTAGTAGCTAAGAATTGAAAAACACAAAGTTAGAGACTCTTACCGGTGGGTTGCCTCCCACCAAGCGCTTGTTTTAAGTCATTAGCTTGACTTGGAAGGCCATTTAGGCTTGAGGAGGATCGCTTAAGGTGGCTGGTTCACCCTCTGCGATATTTGGACCAGCAAGGTATGGCTTCAACCTCTGTCCATTGACAACAAACTCGCCTCCCTTAGTGTTCAGCAACACTACAGCTCCATATGGTCGAACCTCCTAGATGGTGAATGGTCCAGACCATCTCGATCGCAGCTTCCCTGGAAACAATTTCAATCTAGAGTTAAAGAGCAATACCTGATCGTTTGGTGCAAAGCTTCTGTTGAGGATCCTCTTGTCATGGAAAGCTTTTGTCCTCTCTTTGTAAATCCTCGAGTTTTCATAGGCCAGGTGCTTAAGTTCCTCCAGCTCATGCAACTGCATTACTCTCTTCTCCTGAGCACTCTTTGCATCAAAATTCAGCAGCTTCACTGCCCAAGCAGCTTTGTACTCAAGTTCCACTGGAAGATGACATGCTTTTCCATACACCAAGTGGAATGGTGTA